AATAATCCCAGAGGGAGGACGCAACATATTCCATATAGCAGCGTTTAACACGTGCAGGGGATGATCTCTGATTTGTTCTGTGCCCGATTCGCCAGTTGCGTGGTGTCCTGTTGCCAGTAGCAACAGCCTGCGACCACGGCGCTGCGTAAAACACTTTAATTCTGATTGATAACACGAGGAAGCGGATACCCTCGCTTTGTGGAGAGGTAAAACAATTGTGCATTGCAGGGGATTTGTATGTGCAGGAATGCATGTGTTTCCCCTCCCACTGCTTTTCCTTATATTCTCTCAGGCAGATTAAGATTTTCTATACCAGGCCCACTAATCCCACACTCAAATGACTGGGTGTGGATACAGCAAAGTGGTGAGCAATATGGATTATAGTGCCTCTCTGTTTTGATCAGCTTCTCGGCAGCTTCTTATTAATGTGGTGTGAAGTGCTGCAGCACTATGGTCCATATGTCAAAGTCACAGCAGGTCAGGGACCTTTCCTCACAGTCAGCCATATTTACACAACACAGAAAGAAGCTAGGATGCCGGCAACCAACACAACAAGGATGCCAAATGTAGGCTTCAAGACACTGGCTTTTTATTTATAGCAGGGTTTGTTATCTCTGAAAACAGAAGTGCAAGGGAACTTGAAAATGAGAGCATGGGAGAAAATGGGAGGTATCATCACTCTCTTGCTGGTGTTGTCAAAGTTCCAGAGGGAAATGTTGTGTCCTGTCTTTTTTTAAGTATGAGTTGAGTTGCTGTATGCCCTGGGAACTGGTGCTTCCCAACATAGGAGCAAAAAATAGCTCTGCCATGGAGTAGATGCTTTACATGGGAAACGCCAATGGATGTTGGCAAATAAGATTTACTATTCCCGAGAATGATTTTACAAAGATATTATTGGCTTATAGAGGAAGTTAAAATCAGTCTAACCTTTTAACCCAAAACACTTTACAGTATTACTACTCACAATAATGCCATTGTTAGTGAATGAATAGCTCAGGCATATAACATCATAACCTTACACACCAGCTTCATCAACAACAAGCATGTGACCTATCCCCGGGGCCAAATGCAGCTCGCAGGCCATTTTTTATTCGGCCCTCTAATAGTTCAAAAAGTATAATAAAACGTATTCACATAATAAGCTTGAAATACACCCTTCCTATTTCCTCTTATTATAAGCAATCTGAGGATACTGTTTTAAGGGATGAGATGCTAACAAAATAAATGAAACCCTCTGGAGAGCTGTGATTGAATCCGTTTTTTTTTTTCAAGTATCAAGCATAAGTTTCCTACATTTGATTGATTTTGCTAACTTATAACTTTACTGATGAAGCAGTATACCTCACCCTTTGTATATTTTTCTGTATGTGGCCCTCGGAGAAAAGAGTTTGGACACCCCTTCTCTACTGTATGGCGTTAAGCCAGTGAACACAACCAAAGCAGGAATATATTACATATATGTTTTCATTTTCATGTCTTACGATTTACAATAGCAGTCATCATTACTGGGCTTCCCAAAGGCATCAGTTTACTCTCTATTCACACAGTGTCCATTTAAAGCCTCGATTGGGAGCAGAGCTGGGCAGTTTGAGCCCGCTGCCCTCTGAAACCTACCTGGGGATTACAGCATAAGAGGATTGCCAAGTGGAGGGATTTGATTTTATAGAATTAAAACTGTAATTCTCCCCAATCCCGACCAAGCAACCATTTCTCCACATTATTCATTTCCCCCTACTGCCGTGTTTTCCTTCGACCATTCCATTACTACATCGTGTGTCTACATAAAAGGACTTTTGATTAAAAAGTCACGAGACAGGCCCATTAACTGTGGGATGGCAGAAGTCTAATATGGCTTACTTATGCTTGTTGTTTAAAAGCCAAGCAAAATCTCTCTAAAGAGATGTTAAAAGGTTACTGTTGACCGGTGCACTGGGACATTTTGGATGCCAGTTGGTGTTATTAAAGTGATAACCTAAACACCAGCCCTGTCCACTAAATTAAGACCACTCCTGCCTTTGTACTCCCTCCAACCCTTGTCCGTCACTTTGCCTCACTCCTCTACATCCGATTCTCCCAACTTTTCCTCCTCCCCTTTCGTCTCTTCCCTGTATGAGGTGACCCCTCAGCTGGCATATAGGGTCCAGGTCAAACTGAATTACTGAGGAATGTTCCCCTCGTTTCAATGGCCGCCTCAGCATGGGACCACTTCCCCTTCATTGACAGCCAGGAGACTTTCGTTTTGGGGGGGGGAGCACCTTCCAGACAACTTTCCCATGTAATTCCCACTGTCTCTGCAGTGTTCATTGGTACCGTGGGGCCGCGGAGCCAAACAGGCGCTTTAATGATGTGTACGTGTGAGGCACATCTCAGGATCTGGCCTTGTTCAGACACCCTGCTCTGTGACTGCAGGCCATCCAGCTCAATTAACGGGGGCTTTGAATGCATTCCTCCCCTCAGCCTGCTCTACATTTATCTTCCCCCCCCCTCCAACAGCACGTGGGAACTCTAAGAAGAGTCCGGCAAAGCTCTCTTATGCTGGTATGACACTGTTTTTGCAAATATAGTATCTTGTAACCCTAACCCTAACCCCATCTGAAAAATAACTCAATGAAGGATCTTAACATTTTTCCCTACTGTACATTTTTTATTTAAAGAGCCATCAAGTTGAAGTCTCACGCTGAATGTGAACGAGTTAGAAACCCTAAAAAATGGGACTGTCTTTTTCTCTGTGTCTCCTGTTGGCCCAACTTGGAGCAATGTCACTCAGGAGAAATATAAAGTTTAATGGTCCGACACAATTTATAACCAATAAAAGGCTTTTATATGCCGGCTATCAATGGCTTATTGCATGCTCTGACTGTTTTGCCTGGAGACAAAGCATTGCACAGACACCCTTGCTGACGGTTAAGTGATGTCATTAGGCACGCAGCATACTTTTGTTTTTTAAATGGGAAAACTCCACCAAGGTGTAAAGACTCCGTGGGACGTTTTTCCTGTTTTTCCATTTAGAACCATTATACATCTCGTTGTCTTCGTAGAATAGCAGACATACACTTTTGTTTCTTTCATAACCGTGCTTTGAAAACAAACCCCCCACAAATGTTACAATCCCCAGTTGGGATTTGTTTTTAGGTCAAAGTCCTGCATGCCAACAGTTTACAAGATAATATGGTGTTGTCCTTGTTTGCTATGCATGGCCTTCCTGTTGACACACTTTCACAGTTGCATGCATCTCACAAGGCTTTTAGATCAAAGCGGTCAAGACTGTCTTAAAATTCCCTCGTGTTTCATACAGGGCTCGAGCTTAAGGACATCCCGTCGTCCCGGGCCCGAAAGAAATACGGTCGGGGAGGATAACAAATTATTTTGGCATGAATTTGGGACGAGTGTTAAAATAAAAATACCCTGCTAACTCTACTACGAACGCCGATGAAAATGAAACTGACTGCACGTTTTGTGTAGCACACAGTTATTAAACCTCCTTGTCAACATAAACACACACGCACAATACATTTAGCAACCCACGAAATACGCACACACACACACCGCAAATTCGTGGCCTGCGAATTCGTGGGTCTAGCTATGTACTGAGTGTGTGTATTTCGCGGGTTGAGTGATGTAAAATGACAATGGCACCCCGCGGAGGAATTCTGCAATTTTTTTGAACGTTACATCACGAAAACGCACAGCTGGCCTCTTTATTTACTTACTCCTCTTCATCCCCTATGGGTAATAAGGCTGAGATGAGAACTCTCCATCGTATTTAGTCCTTAGCAATATGCTGCTCATCTAGGGATGGGTACCGAGCCCCGGTATTAAACGGGCCCCGGAGCCGGAATTATTAAAGACAGTGGTACCGTTAAGCTCCGACGTTATCTGACTTTGTATCGGTACTGGAGACATTTAAAAAATATATTTCATTTGTATTATTGCTACATAAACATTATATTGCAGTTTTATTTTCGCCAACTCCGTTTCTAATATGCAATAAGACTACAACATGATGTATTTTTTGCATATTAGAAACGGAGTTGGCGAAAATAAAACTGCAATATAATGTTTATGTAGCAATAATACAAATGAAATATNGTCGAGTACGGGTACGGAGGAAAAGAGAGAGGGTTTTATTTTCTGAAGCTGCGTGAGTTCCCCGACGCACCGGGGACACATTTATGTATAAAAGACATCACAAAGTTCATTTTGCATGATAGGTCCCCTTTAAATATAGTGGCACAAGAGCAGAGCCCAGAGGAACCCCACCTTTTATTATTATTAATAAATCTGGCCAGTCGTGGTAAAAAAATTAAAAGATATTACACTCAGTTGTTAACCGATTATAAGATGATTTATTATCGACATTTAAATGTTTCTTTGTTGGCTTTTAATGCATTTGTAACTGTATGAATAATTCCATATATTGTATTTATTAAGAGACGTAGCAGCAGACGTTATAAAGGAAATAAAGAGTTTTTAGACGAGCCATGAAGAGATTACCTGATTCTTTATTGAAAGAGTTTAAGAAATGCCATTAAGAACTTTAGCACACCTGACGACCCGTGAATTAAGACAGACCGCAGAGTTCAGGGCATTATGGTGTTATCATCATGGTCAACTGGTTTCAAGTCAGGAAAGTTAACTAAACGCATCTTAGTTCACCTTTTTCATCCACCAACCACAACCATTTCTCAATAGTTAATCAAATAACCACAGAGGGACGGGATAGTCGCCGAGTTCTCCCTGAACACCAGTGAGGAGTAGCAGCAAACATCTCAATAAGCTGTAGTTGTGTGGAAATGATCGGTTACAGAAAGAACAGGGTCAACGGTCCATTATGGCAAAACAAAAATTATCAATTTTTCCCCAAATTGTGCAAAACCAGGATTACATTTCTTCAATAAAACATTTCCCTCTGAACTCCCGGCTAATTCAACTTTATTCAAATAACGACAGAACTTTATTTTTAGTTTGTTGAATCCTTCCCGACACCGGACCAACTCCTTCTACAACATCCTCATCATCATCATCCTCTCCTCGTCCACCTCCTCACAGCTGTCCAGGCCTCCGTCCCCCTGGTTCTCCTGGTCCCCCTGGTTCTTCTGGTCCTTCTGGTCCTCCTGGTCCTCCTGATCCTCCTGATCCTCCTGGTTCTTCTGGTCCTCCTGGTTCTCCTGGTTCTCCTGATCCTCCTGATTCTCCTGGTTCTCCTGATCCTCCTGGTCCTCCTCGGACTCTGTGTTTATCATCTTGTTCAGTTCCTCTACCCTCCCGTCCTGCAGGCTCATCAGCAGCAGCTCCGGCAGCACCATCACTTTGATCTCCTCAGCTGTGATCTCTAAGAACCTCCTGAAGGAGTTCACAGATCCAGAGGAGAACGCCTTGGGCTTCTTAGCCTCCACGACTTCCTCCGGTTCGCTGAAGAACAACTCGATGAAGACGGACTCCTCGGACCAGCTGTGCTTCACCTCCTCAGCGTGGACCACAGAGATCCTCAGAGGTGTGACGTCTGGACAGGACTCTGAGACGTCCGGTGTGAAAGAAGAAGCGCTGACTTTACTTCCTGAAGTGTTCCGAGGGGAATCTTGGTCAGGATGTTCCTGGTCATCTTTACAGACCTTCTTTGAGTCCACAGAGACATCAGGAGCTTCAGGAGGACCCTCCAACCCTCCGCAGTCTTTCAAAACCCTTGCGAGTCCAGCAGCACCTTCTTTTGTTTCACTTTCTCCGGTTGGTTCTTGCTCCATCACCTCGAGCTGCTCTGACAAGTTTTCCGCGATGATCTTCACTGTCTCTTCAAAATCTGAAATCCACCTGTCGAGAGACTCTGGGACTTCTGGGAAAATCCTGGAGATTTCAGCTGCAAAGCCGGGATTTTGCTCAAGGAAAGAGCTCAGCATGCTGTGGATCATGTTCTCCAGACAGCTCCAGTCCCTCCATATCTGGGAGGAAGACTTCGGACTCTCAGAGGACTTGTCTTGAGCTTCTTTAACTTCTTCATTAACCCCCCTGTCTTCTGGTTTCTCAGGTGTACCAGACTTCCGGCCAGCGTTCGCCTCCTCTGCTGGTGGAAACGCATCAAGATCTGAAAGGTGACTTTCAAATCCTTGATCTATGGACACACCAGAGCACATTAAATCCCCCTTAAGGGCTTTTTGTTTGTTGGGGGTACTTCCCAAACTCCCTGAATGTTGTCTTTTGTGAACAGGACTTAGAGAAGTTAATCCCAACTCTTCTCCTGCTATAAGATCTGTGAGAACTTCAGTATCTTCTAAATGTGGTCGGTCACCTCCAGTCTCAGCCCATTCATTTTCTCTGCACCGGTCCACAGATGTCGGAGTACAGAACTCTTTTATTTTACACTCTTCTGAACCAAACTCTTCTCTATAAGGTTCTCCTTCCTGTTCTGAACATCTTACATCCTGGTACTTGTTCTCATCGTTCTTTTTCGGCCGGGGAACACGATCGACAACAGACGAATGGTTTGGAGCAAATTCCCGGTCTGAAGATGGGTACCCCATCACGGGTTGTTTTTGTTTCTGCTGAACGGTTGTGAGGATCGAACCTGTTGAGGATTTGTCAACTTCATCAGTTGAAGCTATGCTAACAGACACCTGACTTCCTCCCACATAACTTTGGATACATTTGCAGATTTCATGGTCAAAGGAGCGCTCCATTTCCAGCATAAGGATGTCTCGGTTTGAGGGTTCGGTTCTGCTTTCAAAGGTCGACTCTTCTTCAACACATCGGGCCTTTCCTAACACCAGATCTCCGTCCTGAATCTTCTCAGTCTTTGTTTCCTCAGTTCTGTCTCCGTCCTCTTCATCAAAACCCTTCCTATGGACGCTGTCCAGAGACCGGGAGCGGTTGTTAATCTGTCTCCGGTTGGACGTTGTGTCGTTTCTTTCTCCTGGTTCTCGATCTCTGCCTGAAACACCATGAAGAAGACATTGGAGGACCAAGCAGAGCAGAGGGTTAGAGACGGAGACTTAAAGGGAAAATATGTCGGGAATTAGCCCGGACCGACGAGAGGTCTTGATTCCAGAAGATATAAAACTCTTCTGGACGATGCTGGATTATAAACCATCGTGGAATCAAAGGGTTCAGAGGCATGCATGGGTTAGGGAACATTCAAATAACACGGTTTCATTGGTTTTTACCCAGCATGCTCTCTCTGCCGCCATGTGACGGCTCCTCAGCCAATCGGGAGGCAGAATCTGCGATGACATCATCCTCCTGTCCCGTCCCCCCATTGATTGGGAGCTCCGGAGAGACGACCACTCCGTGTTCCTGTTGGGGAGGAAATCATCAGTCAGTCAGTTAGCTGCAGCCAATCAGAGGCCGGCTCTCTGACATCCCACAGTGACATCACCTTTAGTAAATCTCGCTGTCGGACGACTTCGTCTCTGAGGTGGTCGCGTTCAATACGAACGATGTCGGAGATTTCTATCTGTCTTTCTAACGCCTGAGAGAGGAAGAGGAGGAGGAGGAGGAGGAGGAAGAGTCATGCAGTCAGGAGATAAACAGAGGAAACAGAAATATTAGTTCATGTTAATAAAGAGACGTTAATAAGTCAGGACAGGAAAGTTAAACAGGAAGTTATAGAGATGGAGACTTTAAATGATATCCCTTCAAAATAAAAGCCCTGCATCATAGCTACTGCTTTTACAAAATAGCATTATTTGAAGTCAGATTTGTGTATTTTTCCTGATGGAAGCGTTTGTCTCACATGATGCGTTCAAGGCAGGGCTCTCGACAAATTTTTTTCACCATCCTCCTGGAACCGTCCCGAAATTAAAATATTAGTTTTTCTACATTATCATTAGTTAAAATCATTCAAAGTGACCTTTAACATAAATAAATCATACAAATTAGATGATAACTCATCAACCTTTTTATTTGAGTAAATCAGTCAAACACAGAAGCAAAGGCCAAATATATATATTTTTAAAACACACAAACGAGAAAGTTACTCTAATATTGAATCCAATCAAGTCCCATCCAATTAACAAAACAATTCCAACACTCTGTCCTGAAGACAGAAGACAGAGTAACCACTAACCAGGATGACAGTCTGTAACACAGTCAGGAGACCTTTACAAACTGCCCCGCCCCCTCGCACACAGACGGGAGAGAGAGATCTCGTCTGGATTAGAAAGATCGAAAATAAGATCGAAAATACATCATCGACGTATTTTGTAGTCTTATTGCATATTAGAAACGGAGTTGGCTAAACTAAAACTGCAATATAATATTTATGTAACAATAATACATACGACATATCCTTTTTAAATGTCTCCAGTACCGATAAAAAGTCTGATAACGTCGGAGCTTAACGGTACCACTGTCTTTAATAATTCCGGCCCGGGGCCTGTTAAATACCGGGGCACTGTACCCATCCCTACGTGGGGCAATGTACCCATCCCTACGTGGGGCCCTGTACCCATCCCTACGTGGGGCCCTGTACCCATC